TGATCTGCTTAAATTTGGGATCACAGTACTATTTTCCCATTTGCCTGTGGTAATCCCTTATTTGATTGATGTCTTAGGTGCACTGGCACAGAATTTCCTGAAAGCTAGAAGAGTTATCGAAGATCATAACGAGAAGTAGAGGCTTTTTGTTGAGAAGTGAGAACTGGAATCATTCTAGTATTGTTTCCGGTAGATAAGCGGCCACATATTTTTGATGGAGACACCAACCAAAAATCTTACTTATAAAGCCGGTCATAACTCTTATAGACAGTTGGCATCTTTGGATAGGGTCTAACGCGCCGACACTATGAATTATTCTATCCACATGTACTTGCTTAATTTACATGCCAAAATGATTTATGAGCTTGAGTTAATTGGTGGAATGATTTGGTTAACCGGTTTGCACACCATAAAGTTATTACTCTAACTAATTACACTTTTATCGACAATTAGAAGTGTTTTTTGGGCCATGAGTACCTATTCCTAGGGCTCATTGCCATGATGCATTGTGCGGTGCGAGTCTTGACAAGGTTATTCTTTCTTCGCCAGGTTTGGCTGTCTATTTGTTTTCATTTTTTGAATTTTTATATAAACTAGTGACTTAAAATGGAAAATTGATATGCCATGCTTTTGCAACCTGTAACAGCTTTAAATAGACTATATTGTTGAATCAAATGTTGGACTATGGAGTTATTGTAATGCAAGAAAGTTTAACCTTGCTTGATTTGAAGCCAATACTATAGACATTTGGTGCACAAAGGTAAACTGTAATCTTGTGTCTCAAAAGTCTCTTCATGTAGGTTTTCATCTTCTTTGAAAATTGTAAACCTGTTCCTTAATGTGGAAGAGCAAAGTCCACTATTTCCATCAACTATTTTCACCTTTGAACGTGCTCTGTCCTGTCAAATTTATAAACCCTTACACTTACAGCATAGGATTGTAAAAAAAAACTAGAGCAAAAATTTTAATTAGCGTTCCAGATTAATGATCTTGATTTTTGAACCCATATGATATGAAATCTGGTTACATGACTTCTTTGTCAACAATGTACAGAGATTTAGATGTCTGATTGAGATATGCTTTTATCTACAGTATACTATTGATGAGTGAAGCATTTGCTGCCATTTTGGCGTGGCAGCAGAATCAGTATGTGGCTGCAACGAAGAATTCATGTTAAAGCCCTTTATATCTTTACTTTGCCACAGAACACCTTAAAGCCTCCATAGTCTGGTTTGCAAGCAAAATTGTTCCCTTAAGGATATCCATTGAAAGTAGGAACTTGTTCAAGGTGCCAGAAAAATGCAGAGAAAGAGTCATAATTTTGTCATTTCTATTTTGCTAACAATTTGCACCTTTGACTCTTTTAACAGATCTCAAGTGTTGTCCAATTGCTAATCTCCCTCTCTCTCTCTCTCTCTCGTTTGGTGCATGTTTTGATTGATGTTGTTCACATTGGGTCGAGAAGGTGAAACATGAAAGTAGTTCTTAGATTTGCTCTTTCTGTTTTCTTGAACAGTAAATAGTAATAGCTCATAATTGTGATTACTTATGTGTTAAAGTTTTCCTTTTTTTCTTATCTTGTTGTACAAACTATAGATTAGTTGATCGATTTTTTGGATTTGACTGATACTGAGTGAACCTTCCACTTTTGATTCGCATGGACAACCTCAATCTTGAAGAGGTAGGAAAAGCAGAGAGTGTTGCCTACCTATGGAATTGATTTTTGAAATCTTACGTGAAAAAGAAAAAAGATCAAAGAGCCTTCTAGATCTTAGCAAGAGGTTTCAGAGAAAAATAAGTTGTGCAAGCTTATTGGCAGGTATGTTTTATACATACTAATTAAGCCTCATCCTTTGATTTCTTTTCCTGTTTTATGCTGATCGACCTCAATCCAGTACTAAGCATTCCTAAGGATAGCTGCACAAGATATTTTATTTTCACGTAGTTGATCTTAACATTGTATGCAACTTTCTAAAAACTTTATATTGAGATTGGGGTTGGCAGAAAAGTACATATAAAGCAATTGTATACCCTGCATCAGCTCCTTTGTTTAATGTGTGTTTTTGGATTGAGTTTAGCATGTTGACATTACTGTATGTGATTGCACCATTTAATCACTTGCTTTCAATATTCAAATATTGACATAGCACTTTTGACATCTGCCATGTTCTGCTTGGAGTTGACAAGTTAGCATGGTATGAATTTTCTTAACAGCTTATTTAACCATTTAAGAGAATCAAATCTTGTTGATGACTTATTTGAACAGTTAGCAATAGCATTAGAACTGAAGTTTTGAATTGTAATTTTCATTTCTTACAAAAAGTAAGAATGAGTATCATTTATAACTTTTGTTAGGAGACTGTAAGGTCGAGCTTTGCGATATCATGTATCAATCAAATCTAATTTGTTTGTTTCAGAACGGTTGGTGTAGATAGAGCTTATTTGCCATGGTTCAAGTTCTTTGAGCATTGTGGAGAATTACTTAAGACTATGGACATAAATTCTACGGCAGTCAATTATGTAACCTTTACCTGGATATAGCTAAAATATTTAAGCATGAGACAAATATTTTTAGACATGAAATGGCAAGTCATAAAGATATCTTGTGACAATTAGCTGGCACAGACTAACTATCAGTCCGTTTTGAACGCTCCTGTGTGCTAATTTGGATTCATTTGGTCCAAGCAGGTGGTTATGTCTTTTGATTCCCTATCTGAGTCTGTATGATTTAGCTTAAGCAGAGCTTGAGCAGGTGTATTTCCTTGGGTTATTACTTTTCCTACACAGTATGAACTGTTCTATTTATGTTACTACCGATGTGAAAAACATGGTCCAAAGGGAAAAAAAATGAATTACTCCTCTTTGGTTTTGTAGTTAAATGGACATCAAGAGAACTTATCTATCTGGGTTGATCCTGATAAATACGTCCAATGACAAGGTCCCTTTATCCCAGTTTGACAGAAACTGTTTGCCCCATTGTATTTTGCCCCATTAGACATAACACAGAACGAAATTCATTTGTAAGTTTTATAAAAATTTTATCGCAAGTTATTTGTTATATGCACAAAAAGTGGCATGATCAAGAAATTTGCTTAAGCTAAGAATGTCATCTAGGGTGAAAAAAAAATTTATATGAAATAATTATGTCATATTAATATATATTTTATTTAAATTATGTTAATTATATTATTAAAAAACTAATTATTTATCATAAAATAAATAATTAATTTTTTAAAATAAATATTTATTATTTAATTATTACTTATGATATATAATAATAATTAAATTTTTTTAATAACGTGATTATTGATGACAATAATGTAAGGGAAACAGTGGATCATTTCAACGAGAACTTTTCGCATCAAAGAATCAGATATGGTCCCACACATGGGACCCACATTATTTAGTAATGTTTATTTTTGCCAATATTTTCAATGGAGTATGATTTTGCGTTCAAATTTTGGCCTGCAGTTGTGCCTACAAAGCCTTGGCGTAAGCAAAGGGTGGTCGTCTGGCTGTATGTCTGCCCGACGGAATTGACATCGGCATGTGGCTTGGTCTTCAAAGGGACGAATCTTGTTTCTGAAATATAAGACATTTTTGGTAAATAGTTTAATGCTTATGATGGGTTGAATTGATCAAGGAATTGAAATTTGTTTTTATAATATGAGACAACCTAAGCAAGCCAACCTTAGCTCGGTAGAGCGGAGGATTGTAGTGGTATGTCTCAAGGCAATCTTCAGGTCGCTGGTTCGAATCCGGCAGGTAGGAAATTTTTAATTTTTCATAATTTTGAGTTTTATCATCTATTGAATTTATGGTCACAAGTTTCATAATACCAACTTGATTATAGAAAGTGAAATAAAATTCAAAATTTCTTTTGGCGTAGTAAAATTTCAAATCATTGCATTTGAAGTTGAAAAAGACATGGGCGTATGTTTTGTTTGGTGTTGTAGGTAGGTGTGGTATCTGATTAAAAAAGCCTTTGCCTGACACTGAATGGCAATGAATGCTCAAAGCATCAATTCCCCAAACCCCCAGATCCAGACCAGAGTCAACTTTCTCCATATTTATATATATAATGCACTTGCCAAGTGCTGGTCATCATCACTGTCAAATATTATTATTAGGGTTGTATATAAAAATTAAAGTACTTGCCATGTGCTCGTCATCATCAGTAATAAAATATTATTATTAGGGTTCTAACAAAGCTTAGCTCCCCTCGTTATCTCCGTTTTCCAAACTTTCTCAGTAAGTCCTCTCTCTCTCTCTCTCTCTCTCTCTCATGTACATTTTATGTCTACATTGAAGATTTTTTGTTTATGATCTGTTATTGGCTTTGATTCTTTGTTTCTATTTGGTTCTTCTGTTATTGGTTTTTGTCTTTTTTGCTTCTTTGGCCTTTTCCAAACTAGGGTTTTTTGATTGAGTTCTGTGTTTTTCTTTTCATTTTTTTAGATCTTTGTTTTGGGATGAATATATGATAGAGGTTATGAGATTACATTTTCTTTCATATGCTAAAATGAGATTTTCAATTTTTCATTTGGAAAAGTTTGGAACGTGAAACCCAGAGAAAATAAAAGGATTAGCTTTTATTCTTGGGTTGATTGTTTATTGTTAGACACCAAATTAGGCAGCCATACTCAACTTAGACAATAAAAAAGAGATTAATTTTTGTTAGTGAAAGGTACCCTTTGTATGTGTGCACTAGAAGAGTCTAGAACTGTGAAAAAACCATTTATTTCTATTGATTTTATGCGGTTATCATTTACCCTGTTTGCCTTTATATTAAGGTCAGATGTTCATGTCTTTGTCTGTCTTAATACATTCTATGAAATAGTGAACTTGTCTGTCAATCTTGTAGATAAAAAAAATGCACTTGTTTGGTGCGGAGGTTGATAGGTGATGCCTTGGGCTATTGTGATTCAGTTTACCACTAATTGTCTAACTAAAATGAAATCTCACTATCATGTAGAGTTCCATTGTACGCGGATATTAGTGTTATAAAAATCGCCCCCTTGAACAATGCAATAGACAACCATATAGAGTTGTTGAGTGTTAGTGGAATGCAAAATTGGAATTGCTTGTAACAATGCCGTCATATTTATGGGTGGCTGCTATGACTGCTGTGGTGGCTTGTGTCTCAGCCTGGTTTGGATTAAATCTACAGCCATTTACCTTGAACACCCTTAGACTCCAGCGTCAATTTGCTACCTCAACAGCTCTGAGAGCGCCGACGAATGTGCCAACGCCGTTCTGCTTCTACAAACTCAGTCTGCAATGGCCGCCTGCTACTTGTAATGGTGGCATGTCTTGCAAACCACCTACCCCTCGCCATTTCACCATCCATGGTATATGGCCACAAGATGGCAATGACTATCCGGTGCCCCCATACAGTCCAACAAATCCTTGTACCCCTGTCACACCTACTCCTGCCAGTAATCTCCCAGTACGCGCATGATCATCTTATCAATATTTTATAATTTACACTTTCGTTTATGAGAAATTATATTAATTTGTCAGTTTTCTAAGAATTTTTTCTGTCCTTTTTTTCTTTTCTTGTATAAAAGACTGAGCTGAATCCAATTCTAAGCGACTTACAATCATTATGGCCAAACTTAAGGGACCCTAATAACTTGAACCAAAACTTCATATTTTGGGGCCATGAATGGACAACACATGGAATGTGTTCTGATTACCCTAACGACCCTCGTGACTACTTCAACTCTGCCGTGCTGCTCAGGAAACGCTTCAATCCAGGTGATTGTATCTCTTATATAAACCTTACTCTTTTATTAACCAAATACAAATAGCAAGGAATTATTTGAATAATTTATGAGTACTAATGTATTATTTATATCTTTAATTGTCATGGCTTTTCTTATGTTATTATTCCTAAGTTAAAAAAGGAAAAAATAAAAGTTCTAATTTATGCCTGTACATTGAGGGTCTCATATTTACCATCTTATTTTTTTTAATATTATGTTATTATTTTATTACTTTTAGGTAATTCTTTATAAAAAAATTTTTAATTATTTTTAATTTTATTATATAAAAAAGTTAAAAAAAAACTTTATTTCAAATTCCAAAATAAGATCAATAATTAAATAAAAATAAGCATATTTTTCTTTCTAAAAATACCAACAATACCAAGGGGTTGCTATTTTCTTTTTATTATTATTTTTTAAATTTGTAAATATTTAAAAAAATAGATCCAGGGCATTGCATAGACTTGTTTGACAGAAAAATACAAAAAAGAATAATATATTGAGACAAAATTCGTTATCATATTTGTCCTTGTTAATTACCATTTAAAAAAAATATACAGGACTAAAATAATCAAGAAAGAGTGATGGTATATTATTTTCTTGATAAATGCTATACTTAATATTTGAAGCAAAAAAGATATTTTTCCCCAATTCCCAATTTCTTAAATCCCAGTTCTGCTTTTTGTCATTCATTTGTTAAAACTAATCTTATTATTTCAATACTAAAACAGATAAATATCATTATATACATTAATTACATCATCATTAATCTTTAGTATTATTATTAATATAATAATTATGTAAAAAAGAAAATTAAAATTTTGCAATATCTACCAACAAATATATAAAAAGAAAAATTCTGAAGTGAGCAGGTTCATGGTAGTATTTTGGCATGTTTCAATAAAGTTAGCATCAGATCGGATTCAGGGCGGGTTTTGTTCGTCCCGAATTCGATTCAAAATTTTTTTTATTTTTTTCATACTCGATCTCGATCCGATAGTATATAAACATTACTCAATCTGACCCGAAATTAATAAAATATTATTTTTTAAATATAAAATATTATTTTTTAAATATAAATATTTAAAAATATAATTATATAAATATATATAAATAAAAAATTAAATAATTAATTAAAAATAAAATTTTATATAATATCGGGTCAAGTCGAGTTTGCTTAAAACTCAAACCCGATCCGAAACCCGAATTTCAAAAAAAAAAAACTAACCCTATAAGATCGAGAAGGGTCGACACCCGTTGGGGACGGATTGGGTTGCCGACCTTATGTTTTAGAGCTCACATCAATCCAAAATGAAAATTATGTGAAATTAGTTTTGAATATGTCCGTATCTTTCCCTCGAGACAAATCAAACATGTTGTTATGTGCTCACTTTTTTACATGAAATTTCTCTAAATTAGATATAATAATTCGTGTCATTATATCATATAAAATATTATATTTGTATCGTATTCATATTGATACGAAAGTATAAAATAAATTTTTTTATTTTATTAAAATTTTAAATTATATTATTTTTATATCTTTTATTCATATATTTTTATATATTATATTTAATTAAGATCGTGAGATTTATTCTAAATCAAATACACCAACCCCTTTGGAGCCTCCCAATTCCAACCCCAAGCCGCCATTTTCGATCCTTCTTAAAAGCCAACCATCCTCTTCCAAAAACCTAAATCTTTCCTTTTCAAACTCCTCAAAGCCACACAATTCTAAGACCTTTGGCTATGATGCAACGATTGTATAATGAAAACCATACGAAGCCAACACTAGGTAACGTCAACTCCCCCACCCATTTTTACACCAAGCAACCTTCGTACTGTACTCTATATGTATATATAACCCAATCAAACTCTCACCCTTTTGCACACTGTGTTGTGGCATTATCACTATCAGTGCAACAAGAATTACCTACCTGCAACAACATGTCTAATATTCCATCGAAACCCGTTGTCATCGTCCGCCAGGTTCCTACGTTTTGTCCTAAAGATGATCAAGTCATGTTATTGCATGACAAGTCTTATAACAAGTCGGGAGAGAGTTGCAATAATGTTGCGTTACAAGGGTCAGTTTTGGTTCTTAGAAGGCATGGTAGTGATGGAAATGAGGTTGAAGCATTGCAAGTGGATTCGGAACGTGAAAGGCTTAAAAGACACCGAGAAGAGATAGCAGGTAGGGTTCTGATACCAGATAAATGGGATAAAGAGGAGTTGCTTAAAGACTGGATTGATTATTCTTCCTTTGATTCATTGTTAGCCCCCAATGGACTTGCTTCAGCTCGTAAAGCACTTATGGCGGAGGGAAGGAGGACGAATTTTCAAAGATTGAGGTTAGAAAGTATGTGTTGAATTAATCTCTTCGCGGTTTCTTTATCATAATTCCGTAAATCTCATTAACGAGTCACTATTTTTAGGCAATATAAAGTATGTTGATAAAAATATGTACGCAGTTTTAACATTTCAACTTATTATTACATTAATTATGCTGAGATTTTATTTTTGATTAGTGATTATTTTGGTATCAATTATGGAGATTTATATTTAATTTACGAGTATCATTTTGATTTTATAATTTTATCCCATAAAAAGATATTTTATAAATTTGAGTTCGAATCTTTAAGTATATGCCCTAACAAATTTTTTGGATATGCTGTTATAAGATTAAAGGTTTCATAATCTAAAAGTTTTTTTTTTTTTTTTTAAGTTTGTTTTGTTGTAGCAATCCTTTGTTTCAAAGGAGGAAAACTTGAGAAAATCTAACCAATAATGCTCAATACAATGGGATCAGCACAGCAGACTTTGCTACAGTAATTAGTATTATATCTATTACACAGCCAGACATTCTAACAAAAAAAAAAAAATGAGAATCTAAATTATTGTTGGCTGTAATTGAGATCTTTCATTCTGAATGGGGAAATTCAAAGAGATTGAACTGCTGGTGAATTGAGTATCTAAATTCTAATTAAATTACTGTTGGCTGTAGCTCGGATCTTATTCCTTTTTTAATGGTGAAATTCAAGAGATTGAACTGCCGTTAAAATGAAAGTCTAAATTATTTTGTTCCCTGTAATTGGTATCTTTCTTTCTGAATGATGAAATTCAAAGAGATTGAAATACTGTGTTGTTGCATTGAAAGATTGTAATCAGCAAATCATATTGAACATGCAGGAATATATCAAGACACAGATAAAAAGGAAAAAAATATTATATTTGGCATGATTTTTCAAGTTCGAACTTTGGAGCTATCTATGGTTATTTCACTCCATTTTGGCAAAGGCTAACTATATATTTTTTTTTACTTTTTTTATTTGCAAAACATGGATGAATTTAATCACTATAATATGTTTTTCATGGATCTTCTTTATTTGATATTACATTATTAAGGGTCATCACTTTTTATGCTCTTTCTTTGTAGGAAGGGAACAAGACAAAGGCAAAGTGATCATAAAATTTATTACTTATTAGTAAGAAGTCTTCAACTGTTCTCTTGATCCCTTTCTTTCGTGCGAAAAGATTTATATTTAATTTGTGAGATATTATTTTTTTTTTAATTTAAAGATTTTACAGTTTTATCTCATAAAAAAAATATCATAAGTTTGAATTTAGATATATATATATTATATACTATATCTATATATTTTTTCAATATGAGATTAAGAGTATTATAATTTCTTCACCTTTAAAGTTTGACGTCTTCGTTAAACTGAGTCTAACCATATGATTAGGATTGTACAAGATGTTAGAATTCTAAAAGTGGCTCTTCACCGTGTAGCACATAATAACTCTCACGATCCCACCGTGTAGTATTTAGTGACTCTCACGATATAGCATTTGGTTCTTGTCGACCGGTGACTGCTTTGTTATCATTTGTGAAAACCTGTACCAAACCTGGGAAATGTTATTCGTTTTGACCTGAAAGTTTCATCATTTTATCTCATAAAATGTGGCTAACAAATTTGAATTTAAATATATATATATATATGTCATACCATCAATACATTCTTTCAACGTAAAATTGAAAGCATTACAAAAAATTATCAGAGATTGCATTTGGATTATTAAAATATTTTTTAAAATTTAAAATGAAAAACTAATTTTAAAAGTTTTTTTTTCTATTCTCCTTTCAAATAATCTCACTGTTTTAAATATGAGCATCAATTCAAACCCAATTTTATATACGGAATAGAAAAGAATTATCCAAAATGTAATTGAAAAAAAAAAAAGAAAAAGAATAAATATAAGTTTTTGGGCTAATATGGGCTAAACCAGTGTAGTACTAATCTGGTTTAGGCTCAACCACAGCCGAGACAAGTCTCCAAGTCTAATCCCAATGACTTTGGGCTAGACATGCCCTTGGCCTATTATCGGTTTACAGAAAAACTGGCTACGGGGTCCCTATGTATTTCTCCACATCCCGCGAAAATCAAAGCCGCGGCGGCCAGGGTTTTCTCTGGTAAAACTCTCATTTTTTTTAATCCGCTAAACCCTCCTCCTCTACTTTAACTGCCATTTATTCTCAGATCTAATCGTTAATTCTTCACTTTTTGGACATGAAAACTTTGTTTTACAGGTGAATTTTTTAGTTTCGTTTGTGAAAGCCAGAGATTCAGAGATGAGGTAATTTTAATTCTTTGTTCTTTTTATTTTTGTTCATTTTTTATCTTTTGGGATTATTTTATTTTTATTTTTCTTTTTTGTTAATGTAATTATCCTACTTTATATATTGGGTCTTGAATTTTTTTTTTTATTTATATCTTTTCTGTGAATCTTGTTATTGATTTACTGGACTTGAATTACAAGAGTTTGCTCCATTGGGTCATTTGTGTTTTGTAGGATGATCTGTTGGGTAGTTTCACCTAGGAAATAGGTAATGGCTTTGTTATTATGTATATTTTGTTTTTACTCTTTGTCAACACCCATTTTTTGGCTCATTGATTAGACTGGTTTTGTGAAACCCAATTTCTTTTATGTTAGGAAAATTTGAACTTTGACCGTAAGTCTTCAAGTTGTGAATTTGGAGTCTCCTTGGTGGTAGGGGAATTATATGGCGTGTCTCGGTAGATATGAGTCTAGTCCAAAGCATTGGCTTGAACCATGCATTGATTTTGGGTGTTTTTTGAATTGTTTTTGTTGCCTAGATTAATCCTTGATTATTCTAATTAATGAAGCATGTGGTTGTTTCTTATCTACTCAGTTTGTAGTTTTCTTTCCTGAAGGATTTGGGTTTCTTATTTACAGTAAGCTTCAAAGTGATGCCCTTAGAGAAGCTATTTCAACCATTGTGACTCAATCCAAAGAGAGAAAACGGAAGTTCACTGAGACCATTGAACTTCAGATTGGGCTGAAGAATTATGATCCCCAAAAAGACAAACGTTTTAGTGGTTCTGTGAAGTTGCCACACATTCCTCGCCCTAAGATGAAGATCTGCATGCTTGGAGATGCTCAACATGTTGAAGAGGTAATTTTGCAGTTTTTTTAGGTGGAACACGGTTTGATTACATTGCTTAGAAGAATTTTTATTTCTGGACTTGGTTTAAAAGTATATCCTTGTAATGTTTGAGTGGCCACTTGTGCAATGATAGTTTTTGTTTTAAGTGGTTTAATTTGTATTGCAGGCTGAGAAGATTGGTTTGGATTATATGGATGTGGAAGCACTGAAGAAGCTAAACAAGAACAAGAAGTTGGTCAAGAAGCTTGCCAAGAAGTATCATGCCTTTCTGAATCTGTCATCAAGCAGATCCCTCGACTTTTGGGTCCTGGTCTCAACAAAGCAGGCAAGTTTTATATTTGAGCATTGGTATTTCATCTGTTTTCAGCAATTATTTTTTCATACTTTTTAAGGCATTTGCAAGGATACTAAGTTTCTACATTTTGCATTTGCCAGTTGTGATTTTTGAATTGTGATTTTACATGGCTGATTTTTTGTACAAATGCAGGGAAATTCCCAACCCTTGTTAGTCACCAAGAATCCTTGGAGTCCAAAGTAAATGAGACCAAGGCAATGGTGAAGTTCCAACTGAAGAAAGTTCTTTGCATGGGAGTTGCCGTTGGGAATGTAGATATGGAGGAGAAGCAGATCTTCCAGAATGTGCAAATGAGCGTAAATTTCCTTGTTTCGTTGTTGAAGAAAAACTGGCAAAATGTGAGTTTGTTTAACTTTTGTTTGTTTAGGTCCTTCGACATAATTTATTTCTTTCTTGATAGTATATATATGGAATCTGATTGACTTTGTGTGTCGATTTATTCGTTGATAGTAGATATATGGGATTTTGGGATTATTTTAATGTTTTTGATTACATAATCTGAATGAATGTGTTGACTGCAGGTGAGTGCCTCTACTTGAAGAGTACCATGGGGCCGTCAAACAGGATCTTTTGAGGTCTGTTAGGAGTAAAACTAGTAGTGGTGTGGATCTTAAATACGAAATCAGTTCTTTATTCAGAATGTTCAAATTATCTGTTATTTTTTGTTGTTGGAATCCGTGGAAATGTTGCGAATGGAAGAATGGAAGTTTTATTTTGCATATCAACCGAGTTTTCCATGAATGTTTAATTTTCGTCTATTTAATATGGCATCATTCAGACGGAAAAAATAAAATTCCCTGGTTGGCAGCTTTGAATTTTGATGGCCATACAATAATAAATGACTGTCGAGACTTGCTATTTGGGAGAGTGCTGGAATGATTATGGCCATGGTTTTGCTTGGAAACGAATTTGGGCAGACAGACTAGAGTGTCAATGAATTGCAACGCAGCATGATTATTTAAAATCTATAATATCACCTTTGAGTTCAATTAAATTATGTTAATCATAATATTGTAAGAATGAATATTCTACTTTTGAAGCATTTGTTAGAGAAAGAAAATGGGAAGTTTTCGTCTCCTTAAAGATCTCTTAAAAAAGAGCTCTTAAAATGGTTGAAGATCTCTTGAAAGAACATAGAAGTGTTGTTCGAGCCATTTTATTTTTTCTATGGGCTATGTATGTACGGAAAAAAGAAAAAGGGAAAACGGGCCTGACGGCGGAAGCATTTAGTACCCAAACGGTGGAATTTTAGACGAACATTGACAACGGCCCATAGCTAAGAAAAGAATTCAGAATATCGTTGAGTATGGCAACGGGTTCGAACTTCGAAGGGAAGAAATGCATCTTACAAAAGAGAGAAAACGAATTGAGAAACCAAATTTGTTTGTTGTTACCAGGTTGTTTATGATTCCCTATTTAATTTGTTTGTATGTTTGGTTTAATTCTTTGTTTGTTGTTACCTCTTGATTCCCGCACGTTGTTTATTTGGATGTTTGGTTTAATTCTATGAAAATGACCCTTTCGATGTTATGCATTCTTTCTTCA